GCCGTGCCCTCACCGCTACCGCCGCCGCTACCACCATTCAAACGCCGTAGATCCGCCATGAATTCAAAACTACCTTATCGGACGTGGCACTTCAGGATTAAGATCTCATATGGTACTGTGAATACATATAGAATGTCAAAACGACTTGCAAATATCAAATGATTTAATGATCGGTAGTCTAGATCTTTGTATATGTCAAAACAATTTTGAATTTAAAGTACATCAATACAACTCAGACATTTAAAATTACCATTTCAAATACTCATGGAGGTGAATTTCAAAGTACTCGTGCTACGTACTACTGTAATAGTAGTACTACTACCTCCGATTGGAAATGATTAGGCCACTAAACCAGTGACTGAAGTTTTGTCTATTATAGTACTTCTCCATTCTACTATTTCGAGGTCTACAATTCAAAATCACAATGTGATTGAGCAGTGACAAAGTGTCTGGTGAAGTAGAATGTCATTGGCTAAGCCTACATCATCCGAATAATGACTATGCAACCGAATGTAAACTTTGCGGTTAATTAGTTTCTCATTGACTTTGGAGATCAGTGGGTGTTTTCCGAAATATATACCAATGCATTGTATACTAGACCTCTAGACCAAAGACGTTATTTTTGGCCAGAGCTGTACAGTATCAAATTCCAAAATTCCAAAATAATCACGTCAAAATATAAATGACTGAGTTTTAGCGAATAAATTAACAATACGACTAAATCACTGAGTCATTTCGAAATATACCCAGTGACTTCGCTTGATGTGTGATTTGGAAAGTATGTGCTGCATACACCAGTGACTGAGTAAATAATATAATATGATGTCATTCCAATTAAAAAAACAAAATGTATTGTCTAATTAAAAATGCCACTTTCATCTGAGCAGCGGTGCACGACCCAAAAACGGATACATAATTCCCAGCTACAATATCCATTCCAATAGAATGTGTCGGGTATATATATACAACGTACCACGGACGAGACGGCAACCAAAATCGACACTTGGTGCACCGGGGCCCCGCGCAAATTGGCCGTGAGCATCGACGTGGATGCCGGGGCGCTGGTCGCGTCCGGCGACCTAAGCGGTCGTGACGTGGAGCGTCAAGTGAACGCCGTAGGGGGCGCCGTCCGCCAGCGGGACGAAATGTTTGGTCCTGCAGGACGTGGCCATGTCGTTGAGTATATCGGCCGAGAGCAGCACCTTCTTCTCATGGGTGAAGTGCACCTCCACCGTCGCCGACTCCCTCGTGGTGTCAATGGGCTAACCAAATTGGTAGCTCGTTAGCGTCTTGCCGCGCACAAGGACGAATCGAGTGCGCAGACTCCAACGTAGTGGTGGCGTGGTAGCACGGAGAGCCGAAGCACGAGTGCCAGGTAATCTTAGCACGATGGCGTACTAGTAGTACGTCAGCCAACAAGAACCGTCTTGGAAGCTTGAAGCTCAACGCGATGCATACAGTAGTGCAATACTAGTACTATTAATAGTATGCATTTCGTTTTCCCTATTTGTTTGAACAAATAGTTTCTCAAATTTAATCACAAGGCATTTGTAAGTGAAATTAATTATAAACTGGCCAGTTCGTTTTCAGCAAATACAAAATATTCAGCAAATACAAAATATAATGTGTTGTGATCAAATAAAGTTGGACGTCGCATCCGACTCACTTCTGATTGGCTTAAATTCGACTTGAATATCTTGCCTTTTCTTTTTGCTGCATCATTTCGGCTCAATTCCGACTTTATTGCGCTCCTGCACCCACAATTTTGAGAATTAAGGCGAGTGACCAACAAATACGGGTGCAGTGTAATCCATTAAGTAGGGTGTATCTGCGGGAATGCCATAAAAACTGGGATTACAGCAACGTATGCCTCCTGGCCAGGCGCGCAAATGTGACCATATTCATGGTGATGGGGTCGATAGGGTCGTTTATCACCGGAGCCACGTTTCCCCTGTGGGGATACCTCTTGTCAAGATGCTTCGTGATGTTTTCCAATTTTAAACGTGATGGGGTCGATGGGGTCGTTTATCACCGGAGCCACGTTTCCCCTGTGGGGATACCTCTTGTCAAGATGCTTCGTGATGTTTTCCAATTTTAAACTCACCGCCAACGAAATGAAGTTGGAAGGGCTCAAATGGTCCGGGTACTTTCTCATCCTTGGCGCGACCTACTGGGTTGGCAACGTAGCCCAGAACTACGGGTTCTCGGTCGTGTCGGAGTGCTTCCCGACTGCGGGCGTTGGGGTTTGCCGCCATGTTGCGCCAAGAAGTCGGCTGGTACGACTTCCCCAAGCATTCCACCGGTGCGTTGCAGGCCAGTTTGAGCACGGACTGCGCGCTGATTCAGAAAATGTCGGTGGATTTGCTCAAAAATGTGCTCAACCTTGTGGTATGCCTCGTGATTGGGTTTAAGGTTGCGTTCTATCACAGCTGGCAAATGACGTTTGTGTGATTCAAGCCCACTTCATCAAACTCATGGCCATGGCCGGTGCCGACAACCATCGAGCTGCCGATGGGATTTGTATTCAGCCTAACGTTATCTCAAGCCATGATGTTCTTCGCGATGGTGAGCAGTTTTGGGCTGGGTACAGCCGCACAGGCGCTTGGGGGGATGGAGAAGGCCAAGCAAGCTGCCGCCAATGTGTTCGCGATTGTGGATCGAATGCCTACGATTGAATGCATCACCAACGATGGTGTCAAGCCAACTCAAGTCGTGGGACGCATTGAGTTCCAAAGCGTGGAATTCGGCGACAGTTTAATGTACAAGGATTACAACCTGGTAATCGAGGCCGGCACCACGGCCTCGATATCCCTTCTTGGAGCTCTCCGCGAGGCGATTGTCTCTAAGGTCCTGTACTGCCGTTGCTAGCTGGCGGGTGAGGGTAAAACTTCATTATATTTTTTCACCTGCCATGGTAAAAGTACTTATAACCAATCAATGGATACAGGGCATTCGGTCCGACTTTCTTCTGTTAATGAGACGTCTTTTTCGCCTCCACAAAATTTGTGGCACAATTGACATTGTGAAATACTAGTATAATTCCGGGTGATTTCAATGTCACAATTGAAGTTTGTGACAGTTTCTGACGTCCTCCACTTCTGCATTTAACAGTAAGTCGAGAAATTGTACGGCGAGTAAACAACACCCACATGGTTTTACAGTTAACTGTAAGTCGAAGTTTAAGTCGAATACAGTAGGCTTCCTCGTTTGTCGGGACGAATGAATCTAAATTCACATATGTACATACATTACGCGAACGAATGTGCAAGGCGACGTAATAGACACCCACACGCACTACCAGTACGTCGACGACTACCAAGGACACAAATCGGTTGGATGATGTATTCGTCCTCACAATTACATACCACTGTATGACTATGGCAAATTACGGTAATTCTCGCCATCCTTCCCATCTTGGCTCAACGAAATTGATTGTTGCAACATTGGAAAAGTTGAACGCGTGTTTTGCAACATAGGAAAAGTTGAACGCGTGGTTTGACGTGTGAAGTAGTACCGGTACCATAGTAGTAGTAGGTAAGATATTATTAATATAATATTGTGAATTCGCTTTAAACTTCCTAACAGTAAATTCGCGTGGTTTGTCTAATCAATATTGAATCACGCTGGAGTTCTGATTGGCTGACTATACTTGTCCTATCTGTAAGAGCCAATCAAATACGCTCAAAATTGGATTAGCCAATAGCGTCGATTCGTGATTCGATTCGGAGGCGTGATTCGATTCGACGGGGTCTGGAAATTCGTACCAAATCCACAATACTCGTACTATTTATAGTATAAATCAGATGTGATAATTATCCACGGAAATAGGTAGAGTAATCTTATTGGCCAAAAGATAAGTCGCGCAAATATTCCTCGAATTTCGAAGTGCTCTGACCAATTACATCGCGTGACTTAGGCACAACTTCGAGTGATAGTGTGGCTTACAGTTAGTTATACGTAAAATCCGTCGTTCACTGTAAATCATGTCCGTAGCCAACCAGAACCGCCAATCACACCTTGCCAAAGATCTACTAACGAATACCAGTACTAGTACTAGTACAATCTTTCTCACAGACTAACCCCTCAATAAATCGGGATACCGGTATAATTCCCTCATTAAAACAGTTCCACTGTTGTTTTGACCCGAAATACTGTTTCAATGAGGGAATTATTACATCCGGATAACCTGGGACTCCGTCCTACCCCCGGTGAGTAAATACGATGCTAAACCCCTAGTAAGAAGTGAGGTGGTCTGAGCATACAAAGTTCCATATAAACCTCATTGAAAAAGTATTTCGGGTCAAAACAACCGTGGAACTGTTTTACTGTTAAGCTTAATGAGGGAACTATTCAGCTTTTGAGACAGCATATTTCTGGAGAATATATGCGACATACGTACTTGGCCATTCCGATAACGTTAACCTTATGATTTGCTACCCTTCTTGTTTGTGATTATTCGCTACACGACTGTCTACCACGAAATGACTTACTTACTGTAATCTGTGACCTTCAAGGAATCGATCCTCCCTTCAGCGGAATTGGTGGAGGCACAACAATCAATTCATTATCAATTTCACCGCTGCCATGGCAAGCCACGGCAACAAGGAGGCGATGGACTTGGAGGAACGCGTGTCGTACATCCACTCGAACACGGCCAAAGACGATAATGGTTACGTCGAATCGAAATCACCCAAGGACCTGGAAGATGGGGCGCTGACTGAAGGGGGGGCGCTGAACTTGTTCTCCCGCGAAGCGTTTGCCCTGTATGTCCAGTACGGCGCCATCGGGGTCATATACAGCATAATCCCCGCTCTCCGGTATCCCATCTTCAACGTCTACCTCAACTTGGAGGGTTACCAAACGTCGTCGTACAAGGTCTTGATGTACATCGGGTGGTCGTTCAAGGTCATCTTTGGCCTGTTGTCGGATTGCGTTCCCATCTATGGCTACCGTCGAAAGTCGTGGATTTTAATCGGGTGGACCATGACAATGACCTGTCTGAGTGTGATGGCATTTTCGCCGTTCGGCGAGCCGTTTTGCAACCGCGAAAAGACCAAGTATTGTGGTACGCCGTTGGAAGAGGTGCCTGAGCGCGAGCTGCAGTACTTCAACTTATCCGCCCCCGATAACGGCACGTTGTTCATTCTTCTGTCCATGTTTATCGCGTTTGGGTACGTCTTGGCTGCGAGTGCGTCGGACGCAATGGTGGTCGAGTACGCCCAGCGTGAACCCGCTGCCATCCGCGGCCGCATACAGACCGCCAACTACACTGTGCGCACGCTCACTGGCATCCTTGCGCACTTGGTGAGTGCGTTCGGGCTGAACGGCCCCAACTACGGAGGGTCGTTTTCGTTTGCGTTGTCGCCGAATGTTCCGTACGGCATTGCCTTGGTGCCGTGTGTTCTGGCGGTGCTCTCGACTATATTTATTCTCGTGGAGAAGAAGTCCGAGGCTGTGTCCTTCCCCCTATGGTGGGGCACGTTTTGGGAATCTCTCCAGAGTCGCGTGTTGTGGCAAGTTTGTTTGTTCCGATTCCTCAGCAACGTGTTCAATGGCGTCAGCACCACTGCGGTGTTGCCCATCTCGACGTACTGGGCGGGGGTCGAACCTCTCAACGATGCGCTCTCGAATATCATTGGCAATTTGCTGTTTGCTTCTGTTTTGGTGATTGTGGGCAAATGGGGGCTTAACTGGAATTGGCGCTGGACCATCGCCGCCGGTACCCTCGGGATGATCGTCGTCGACGGCTTTGTCGTGTTCTTGACCATCTGGAACGTCGTGCGCAACCAGTGGTTCTTTAATGGAGTGGGGTTGGCTGATGAATTTCCCCATGGCCTCCGCTTTATCGTGTCCACGTACGTGGCCGTGGAAATCGCCGACAAGGGGAACGAAGGCGCCACGTACGGCCTGATCTCCACTGTGAGCAACCTCTCGGGGCCTTTTGCCAGCATCTTTTACAAGTACGTCAACTCGTACTTTAAAGTACGTCAGAATGACGTCAAGTCCGACACGCTCGAAGTGCGGTGGGACGTCACGTACGTGTACCTTATTTCATACGGGTTCAAGACCGCGTCGTTGATTTGGTTGTTTTTGCTGCCTCCCCAAAAGGCAGAAGTGAAGGCCCTGAAGGCGCGTGGTGGCAAGAGCAAAGTGGCGGGGTTCATTGTGGTGTCCTTGTTTTTGTTTTGCGTGTCCTTTACCGTGTCCAGCAACATCATGTCCATCTTCCCCTCCACCAAGTGCTACCGTGTCGCAGGGGGCAACGGAGTGTTGGACCCCAACACGGGCAAGTGCCCCCTCAAGTAGAGAAAGATGTCTTGCATTTTGAAGTAGCGTATATAATGAATGAACATTGCATATCTCTGGCGTTTCCAATATTGAGGCGATCGAAATCTAAAGTTTGCGTTAACGTTACGGTATAAAGTAGCAATCACGTGGCCACGTACGGCCTGATCACGACGATCAACAACCTCGCGAGCCCGCTTGACGGTACTAGTATTTCATATTTAGCAAGCATGAAAAGTTGAATATTTTCAAAAATATTGCAAAAACGTAGAATCTGAGAATATATCCGGAAAGTGCTGAAATCAACGAATCCAATTGGCTTGAATTCACAAAAAATGAGTTGATTACATTTCAGAATGCAAAATGGAAATTTCGACACTCACATTTGGTACTACTAGTAGTCTTCGAACTAGTAGTCTTCGAAGTATAACGTTTTACATGAATACCTCACAACCATCGGTTTTGTCCGTTGTTATTAGGAATATTGTATCTACGTCCAAAAAGTGGGAGATATCCGCGAGGTATTTACTGCAAAGTCACACGATTGGCTCATCCTTGTCGTCTACGTGGACGACATTACCATTGGGAGACTTCCAAAACCGGTGCAAACTTGTTTTGAACCCACTGTGGTACAAAAATTATCCGTACTGTGAGTGACTATTACTGTATTGAGCCAATGCTGAAAAGCTTCGACCAAAACCGACAAATATTGGTCAGCCATTCAAAAATGCACAGCTGTGATTGGATATAATAGGCCAATCAAAACCTTGTACAGCATTGTTCCAGTTGTGTCGAAGTAACTTGACGATGTCAGCATGGCAAAGCCATCGCGAGGCAAAGGATGAAACCCGAGGTCCACGTGATTTTCTTGCCGTCGACGCACACCGGTCCCCGGCAACGCAAGGAATCCGGTATGCATGGTGCTGCATTAATTGACTTTGTTATGAAAATGGAGGAGCGTGGTACAGCATCGCGCTCCTCCATTTTCGGAATGCTGCATCAGTGATGCAGCATTCCAAACCCAGCGGCTTGAGATGCATGAACGGCGCGAGAAGTTCGATCAGTGTATGCTAGC